ACTGACACTATACTAATGGCACTGAGCAGGAAGGGGTTAACATGTGGGGCGATCAAAGAGTTAACTGTGTGCTGTTTTACTACTTGTGCTTTACTACTGGAGCTGCAAAATCACTATATATATATATATATATATATATATATACACACACACACACACACACACACACACACATATATATACACACACACATACAAACATTTGTGATTTTGCAGTATTTCTGCTATAGGGTGGCAGGGAACCGGCTAATTCAGTCATCTAGATCTGTGTTTATCAAGTAATGGGTATGATCAGGGGCGTACTGGGCAAGTGCCCCCCAAGCTTCTCTAATGCCCCTACCATCACCCCAGACTTTGAGACACTTATCAAGAGCAAGAAGCATCCCCAGTTTGCCCATTAGTTCTAATTAATTTCATATATTGCAATTACCATATATTTTATTGGGTTTTTGCCTCAACAGCACTTTCATTTTCACTAGCGCTGTGAATACTGTACTATCCATTTTGGAAGGAAGCCGTTTGTTTACGGTTTAAAAAGTGCATATACATTGTAGAATCCTTCACAAGTTGTTTTGTGGAATAAATTATAATGTTTTGGAAATTAAATTATTTTTGGGTAGCGACTTAATGATCAAGGACAAATGTGGGTCCTGAGGTTCCACAGGTTGAGAACCACTGGCATAGAAGATAAACTGCTGTTTACGTGACCTTATATATTTACATCAGACCCCCAGAATGGCCAACATCTTAGTCTTTAGCTTGAGTTCATACTTTACTTTTGCAGGAGAATAGACAGTTACATACATATGTATATGAGACCAAGTCATTTGTAGGCTTCTTTGCAAAGTTTGCTATGACAGGCTTGGGAGGCAAGGGATCATTTATTCATTGGGGGGAGTGTGTGTGTGTGTATATATTGTGACAGTGTGAGACCCTGCCACTGTGAAAATGGATGTAGGAATGACACAGAGTTCACATGTATGCAGATGCAGGGCTCCAGAGTAGTGTCAATGAGTGGAAAAAACTAGGTATTATGTTTTCTTTGGGTTTTGTGTTTCCAGATCAACATCTAGAGCTTCAAAGGCTTCAGAGTGTCTTGGGTAGGGATGAGGCCTTCAATTTGTGTCCAGGTCTTATTACAGACCTGCAGGCTATGTAAATGTGAAGGTGTGTACACTCATTAAAATCAAGGTCTGGCCATAGCTCAGTGCTCCAGCCAGGAGGAAGGTGTGCCCAGTTTGAAGACAGGTGTGTGATCCTGTCTGGAGACAGAAGCACTCAACTTCTCAGCTCCCCACAGGGTGGAACTACTTGAGTAAAGTGAGCCGGACTGTAGATTGCACTGCTGTCTCTGTGAACATCAATGACCTTTAAAGTAGTTGCGGGTACATGTGCATATTAGCACTGCTTTGTACTTTTCCTTTGCAAATACGGGACTGATTCAGCATTCCAGAGGCTAAGTAAGAAAAGAATGAGTGGGAATTGAATAATGTAGAACTAAGAATTAGGTAACTGGTGATAATTTATTTAGGTTCCCTTTATGTAAGACATCTACACAGATCATGCTCCTGCTGTGCTATGAACTTATGTAGTAAATACATGAATGCATTAGTGTAATACAGACGCCTTTTATAAGGTCAAAGGAAAGCTGATAATAAATACTGTGAATCACATGAGCCAATCGACTTCTCCAAAATCTGATTTGTAAGCGGTGCATGTATAGGAAAATTTCAGTTTCATATTTTACCCTGTCCAAACAACTTAAAAAGAACTTTATACATATACATCCAATCCTGAATATTTCTCATCAAGCATTATGTGATAGTTATTGATGACATTTCACTGAATAACAGATACCTAACAACTACATAACTTGGTTATGTAGTCTATTGCTAATGGACAGTTCTCTCTTATGGGCCAATACAGTATATATTGAAAGATTTGGACCGCGCTAAGGTCACAGATCGACTAAATCAAATGTGCAATTTAAAGTGATAACAATTAACAAAATTCAAATACAATATGAGTATTCAGTCCCAACATGTGAATAATTATTGCAATGGTGCTGTATCTTTAACGGTGATACTCCATGCTGGAATGACAAGTGCTTCACTGTATTCACACTGGTGCCCACATAGATGTAAACTCACCGTCATTTCATGACCACCTATCTCTAGGTAAGTCACACTCGCTCTTGGGACTATCCCAGTACTTCAAGTACTTCCTGAAGACAATCTATTGGTCAAAAAGCGTCGAGGGCTTATGACGCAACTTCCGCTGTCACTTCTGGTATTTGGAACGTGGTGGCCATCTTAATTCCCATTCATAATATACAAAGCTGAAAACACCCAGTGCCAGGAAAGGCACTTTTTTTGTGAGTGGCATTTCTATTGTTTGACCCCATATTAAAGTTCTCTACAGTTTTACATTATGGGATGTCTGGTTTTGTTTTAATTTATGCTGAAAATATGAAATACTGCCTGTGGAGGAAAGGAGTTTTCTAATATTGATGCAGTCCTAGTGGAAAGTTATCGGTTACTACCAGCAACCACGGTTAAGGAGGTGAAGGAATATTGGCCATCAGGACCAGATTGCATACTGGGATAGTCCCAAAAGCGAGTGTGACTTAGCTAGAAATAGGTGGTCATGAAATGACGATGACCAGTGTGAATACAGTGAAGCACTTGTCATTCCAGCATGGAGGTTCATCGGTAAAGATACAGCACCATTGCACTAATTATTCACATATTGGGACTGAATACTCATATTGTATTTGAATTTTGTTAATTGTTATCACTTTAAATTGCACATTTGATGTAGTCGATCTGTGACCTTAGCACGGTCCATTATTAAATATTTAAGATTTTGTGTATAGGAATTCACAGTTAGGACTGCTGCTATATAGGTATATAGGTATATATATATATATATATATATATATATATATATATATATATATATATAGCATAATTTTTATACACTTATTTTTTTCCTAAGCGCAACAGTACCCCTTTTCTTTCAATATATTGAAAAATTACCAACTTATATTATGACAATCTAACTTTAAGTAATGTTAAACCTTGTAACTAGTTACAAATTTTCACATGATTTTATTTAGGGCTTTTTTACATAGAACAGATTAAAGAAGTCATTTTGCAGCGTCCCTCTTAGCCAGCTGGGAGTAATTTGAGGCTCCATGCACACTAGCATTTTTTTAAGCTCCTAGAAGGTGTTAGCATTTGTTTTCTGCTCCTAGAAGCCAAAATAGTGTTATCCTATGTGTCCATGCACACTACTTTAGGCTATTAGGGTTTTCTGAGCTTCAAAGTCTAGGAGCAGAAAAAAATTGTTTCTGTAGAGTTCTATTGAGCATTTTTCCAGCAGAAAAAAATGCTAAACTCTCCTAAAACACCCCTAAACAGATTTTTTCTACATATACTATAAAAAACGCTAATAAAATTCTAATGCTCCTAAACACTACTTAAATGCTACTAAAAATCCTATTACTAGTGTTTTTTTGCGCTTAAAAAAATAGCTAGTGTTCATGGAGAAAGATGTGCACTGTCACAGTAAGGGAATCTACATGCAACAGAGATCTAATATATACATTGCTGCAGTGCACAAAACACAAACTCAGAAAGTCCACTTCCCAACTCCAACTAGAGACACGATAACAATACCAGCTGATACGTTTCGGGAGCTAACCCCCTTCTTCAGAGCTATGAGTTATAGTTCTGAGGAAGGGGGTTAGCCCCCCAAAACATGTCAGCTGACATTGTCATCCTATCTCCAGCGGTCGCTGGAAAGCAGACTTTCTGATTTTGTGCATCTACATGCTTTGAGTTCACTTGGCTTGTGAGTATAATAAGTTTTCTTATACCCATTAATTGTTAAAGATGATGTGCTAGGTGTTTGCACCCTCTCGGTTTGTGTTTTGTGCAGTGTTGGATTTCCCTGATCTGAAAAGAGCTGCACTGCCATCTCTTTCCAGTGGGGCTTAATGAATGAGATTTATGGTTCACGTGATGGGTGCCTCTCCCATTTCTGAGCACTGAAGCGTCAAGTTTGCATTTCATTTTTTTCATTTCTGAAGTGCAGCCTTACAAAAAAAAATGCAATGTTAATTATTAAGGTTACATAAGGACAGGCTATGTCAGCCCACTAGGGTCTTTAGGGGATTTATAGTTAAAGCTCCACCCAAAAGGGGAAGTTCTGCTTTAAAGACTCGTCCCCCACTCCCTGTTCATAATTGGCAACTTTGGGGAGCGGGTACCCAATTTTGACAGGTATCCTCTCCCACTTCTGCTCCAACCGCCTAGGTGATCGGAAGTGGAGGTTCTCCTCCCCCGCAGTCTTTTGGGACAAGTGACAGGTCCCAGAAGACTGTGGGACCATTCACAATGCGCAGTGCTGCTCGTGCATGCACAACTGTTACAGCCGGGTGCTCACAGTTAAGATGCCGGCGCTGTGGACAGAGACCAGCTGGTGAACCCAACTGGGGTGAGCACACCACTGGATCAAAGGACAGGTGAGTGGCTGTTTTTATTAAAAGTCAACAGCTTACAGCTACAGTATTTGTAGCTGATGACTTTTTTTTGTTCACAGGAGACTGGAGCTCCACTTTAACCGCCTCCCGCCCAACATATAAGGTAATGACGGGTGCAAGGCGGTTCTCTCGTTCTGGGAGGATGTCATATGATGTCCTCCCATTCTAACCGCGCATGCGCGACTCCAGGATCGCACAGCGCGGCAATTGGTGGTGCATTGTGTCCCTCGGACACAGCAGATCACCGATCAACGGAAAGAGCCGAAGACGTCGGCTCGGTCATATGATCAGTTGTGTACAATCACAGCTGATCACATGTAAATAGGGAAATGCACGTTATCGCCATTTCTCTCCTCACGAGCTGTCACACTGACAGCTGGAGAGAAGAGGAGAGCCGGTAATCAGCTTTACTCAGAGGGGACATGGGCACTGATGATCAGTGTGCCCTGATGATCTGTGTAGCCCCAGCAGTGCCACTTTTCAGTGTCCATCAGTGCTCATAAATGCCACCGGCCAGTGCCCATCAGTGCCACATCAATGCCAGATATCAGTGCCTACCAGTGCACATCAATGCCACATATCAGTGCCCATCTGGGCTGCCTTTCAGTGCCACCTATCAGTGCCAGTCAGTGCCACCTATCAATGCCAGTCAGTGCCACCTATCAGTGCCAGTCAGTGCCACGCCTAACAGTGCCAGTCAGTGCCACCTATCAGTGCCATATATGAGTGCTGCCTTTCAGTGCCCATCAGTGATGCCTGTCAATGCCCATCAGTGCCACCTACCAGTGCTTCATCAGTGCCACCTACCAGTGTCCCATCAGTGCCGCCTATCAGTGTCCATCAGTGCAGCCTATCAGTGCCCATCACTGTAGCCTTCTTAGTGCACATCAGCGAAGTAAAAAAAATCACTTATTTACAAAATTTTATAACAAAAACTAAGAAGAAACTTTTTTTCCCCTAAATTTTCAGTGTTTTATAGTTTGTTTAACAAAAAATAAAAAACCCAGAGGTGATTAAATACCAGCAAAAGAAAGCTCTGTCTCAAAAAAATTATAAACATTTCATATGGGTACAGTGTTGCATGACCGTGCAATTGTCATTCAAAGTGTGACAGCGCTGAAAGCTGAAAATTGGTCTGGGCAGGAAGGGGGTATAAGTGCCCAGTAGGCGAGTGGTTAGGGTATATATACATTAAGAAAAACCAAGTATCCACCTACTATTAACTATTACCATCATAGATTCTTGGTCTTTGTTTACATGTGCTTTTCATGCGAAGGTCTGGCCTACACTTGCAGCACATCAACATTATCATACAAATGCTGTGTTACAAGCAAACGTATGGATTACAATAGGCTGAAATCAGTTATAGATTGATATGCTTTTCTGATGGCCTCTTTATTGATTACATGAGGCTATGTTTAATTCTGATCGTTACTTGGCAGAGCACAAAATAGCATGCTAACCAATATAAGGCTCCATCTGCTGGTCAGCTGCTGCACTGCGGTAGGCCTCATTACATTACTTCATTATGCTCTCCTCAAACACAATAATCAATATTTTTCATTCAATGCATTTATCCAAATGCTAGTCCTATTAACTCAAAAAGTACCTTCTATTGCTCTCCTCCAAATCCGACTTCCTGTTAGAGGATGGCTACGTTCATTTCCATGGAACCACAGTAAGTAGGAACTTAGACATTCTTTCGTGCTTGCTTTTGAGATGGACTATGGGATTTGTAGTGTGCATAGAGCAGTGCCTATGGCTAGAACTAATGTGCACAGCTAAACAAATGGAAATGAGTGGGGTAAAGGAGAGGTTTGGGAGCTCATGGAGGATGTTAAAGCCAAGAACGGACTGCACAGTGGCTAAATGGTTATCACTTCCGCCTGGCAGTACTAGGGTCCTTGGTTCAAATCCCAAACAAGGCAGCACCTGCCTGGAGTTTGCATGTTCTCCCTGTGCCTTTGTGGGTTTCCTCCGGGTACTCCGGTTTCCTTCCACACTCCAAAGACATGCTGGTAGGTTATTTGGCTCCTGTCTAAATTGGCCCTAGTGTGTATATATGAATGGGAGTTAGGGACCTTAGATTGTACGCCCCTTCAGGGTTAGGGACTGATGTGAATGTAAAATACAGTATATATGTAAAAGTGCTGCGTAAATTGATTGCGCTATATAAGTACCTGAAATAAAGTGGCAGATAAACACTGTAAGAAATTATTTAGGGCTGGTGCACAGATGCAGGCCAATGCATTTCTGTTCTGTATCATAAATGCATGAACAGCGTTTAACATGGATTCCAAAGGCCCTAATTTACACCAGTGAAACAAAAGCAGAACATACTGCATTTTTTCTGTATGGAACACATCTAGAACGCACCGAAACACACGTTCTCAACTATGATGAAGAATTAAAAAAAAAAAAAGGGGGGGGGAGCACTGCAGTAACAGCCATCAGCCTGTGCCCGCTTTGTTCAGCCGGCAGAGTTATCTGGTGGCTGTATAGCCCCTGATCACTTTCACAGTACAGGCGGCTCTGTGCCTCCCTCACCCCCCCAATCTGAGAACGGTTAGATGCTGTGAAGGGCAGGGGGGCTTTTACAAGTATCACAGTAAACGTCAGAATAAGAGTAATAATTCTTGCACAAGAGCTTCTGGTTACCTTTACACTGATGAGCTGTAAGCTTTTAAAGGGTAACCTATGGAGATTTTTTGATACTGAATTTTTTATTTGCAATATCAGTCCATGCTATTTTAAGACTTGACATGTTTGGCATCTATGTGCTCGATGCAACCTCTTTATATTTTACCATAAAAAAGGTATTATATTATGTGTTTGCACTTTCATTCATTTTATATTTTTTCCTGAACATTTTCATTTGATAAACAATTGCACAAATATCATGTGATCTAAATAATTGCAACTATCATCTTTTTATTCTTCAGGGACTCTGCTTTCAGAAAATATATAATATTTTAGGGATTTATGTAATTTCATGGCCAAAAATGAAGATTTTTTACATCTGTGCAAAAAAATTAGAAACATTGCTCTAATGCGGAAATAGTTAAAGTGGGCAGGGGATCTTCTCCTGCTGTCACAAATTAAAAAGAGTGTGGTTGTGTGGAGCTCCGCCCACATGGCCGCATCATTCATTCACAGAGTTCTGTGAATAAATGCCTACAAGTTCCATCAGCCTTCGCGGCTGAGGGCTTGTAGTTCTCAATGAACTGCAAGGGGGCTGGCGAGCGCTCTTTTAGTCCATTGAGCTTCCTCTCATTCTGGAATTGCCTGCCTGTATTGGAGGTACAGGCAGACAGCTACACTGACAGTCTGCAGGAATCCGACATTGAAATGCTTTACAGACAGGATAAAAAAAAAAATTGATAAATACACATTTTTTGCAGGTAAAATAAAAATGTACATTTACTTTTTTTTCAAAAAAGGTGAACTTATCCTTCAACCACTTCCCAGCCACCCACTCACAATGTACTGCAAACAGGCAACCGCTGTAGGCAAAGCAATGAACCCATATGTCGCTACCTACTTCCTGGCATGCACATGCGCCCCCCCCCCATAGCCAACACCGGCTGTGATAGTACACAGCAGAAGCCTGTCAGCAAGTCCCCGCCAATGATTCACGGCTGGGACCTGCTGATTGGCTGTGTACAATCACAGCCCAGAGCTCTGTGTTGACAATCAACAAAGAGCTCTGTACATAGAGAACGATCTCTGTTTCTCATGAGATCCATTAGTAAAAGCAGCAGACTTTACACACATTACACAGCTAGGCACACATTTAACCCCTTCGTCACTCTAGAATTTAACCCCTTCCCAGCTGGTACTATTAGTACAGGGACAGTGAATAAAATAATAAATGATCACTGTATTAATGTAACTGGCAGTTAGTCAGTTCCCCCCCAGTGTCAGATTGCCCGCCGCACTATTGCAGTCCCATTATAAGTCACTGATCACCGCTATTAATATATTAAAAAAAAAATTCCAGTAAATATACCATAGTTTGTAGGCAATATAACTTTCATGAAAATCAATCAATACACACTTATTGGAATTTTTTTTTTTTTGACACGTAGCAGAATATATTTTGGCTGAAAATTATGAAGAAATTTGATTTTTCAAATGTTTTTATTGGATAAGTTTTATGGCAGAAAGTAAAAATGTTCTATTTCAAAATTTTCTGTCTTTTTTTTTCATTTATATCACAAAAAATAACAAACCCAGTGGTGATCAAATACCACCAAAAGAAAGCACTATTTGTGTGAAAAAAAGTTATATAAATTTTGTTTGGGTACAGTGCTGCATGATTGCGCAATTACCAATTAATGTAGCGCAGTGCTAAATAGCAAAAAGTGGCCTGGTTATGAAGGGGGTAAAATCTTCCGGAGCTCAAATGGTTAAACTGGCCTTTCAAAATAAATACTAAAATGTATAGAGGTTTATACAATCGGACAACCTAGGAGGAAAAAGGAATGGATAAATCTGAAATTAGAAAAGGGACAGCCCTTCCAGTGGAATTCAGTATAATTTATCCCAACTTGATACATTACAGAGAATGTTTTCTTTGTTTTCTTATAGGCTAAAGATATTTCTATCTGACTCCTATGTGCAAGAATCTAGCAAAGCAAAACAGAGGGGGGTTACAGATACCCACACTATGTGATATGTACTCCACAAGTCAGATATATTAATATATTCCAGTTCTAGTATGACTATCAACATCAGTATAATGCCAAGTGGGACAATGCAAAGTGTTTATAGGTGCCCTGGCACAAACAGAATTGTATTTTATTGTCTGTCTTACATAGCATTATACTGCATTGTGATAAAGCACTTTGAAGGAGAGCCCAACTCAGAATGAACAGCCTGCATGTAATCTGTATTTATAGCATTCAAATCCAACTCCTACTCTATGTGCTTCTGTGAGACCTCTCTCTCCATTAAGTCCTTCTGCCCTGCCTTTTCTTTACCCCGATTCTACTTAATTGTATAACTGTTCTCACAAGTGTAGCAAAAATGAGCCCAGGAACATATATTTAGCCTTCCAGCCATTTTAAACTTTCAAAAAAAAGTTACATATATTGCAGCTTACCAATCCCTAAACGGGGTGGCTTCATTTGTGTTTTTTTATATTTTAGATAAATGTTTTACATAATGGTATAAATGCGGACCATTGTAAGCAGCTCTGTTGGTGGTAAACTCTCTAACTGCCACATTTGCTGGACAGCTTGGTCTGTTAAAAGAAGTTGAAAAAGCAGGATCACCTATTGAAAATGAGGGAAAAACAAGCCTAAAAAAAATGAAACAGATGCAGCCAATACACCTAACTATATTCATTTTTTTTCTTTAATACCGATTTTAGTAAAAACTAACCTCTCCACATAAAAACTGTTTTTACAAGTCTCAAGGCCTATAGTGTTGCCGTGTGTACTGATGTTTTCTATTGCTGTACTGCACCATTCATTCTATTTGGCACATTTATATGAAGTATCTGCTCCATCCCATTACATGTATATCAGCTAAGCTGAATATGTACAGAAGTCAAGTACCACATTATTCTATTTTCACTGGCAGAAAGCCGCATTCAGAACATTACATCATCATCTCACTGTAAATGAATATTTAACACATCTTATGCCCCTTGGAATAAAAAGAACCTGAAATGTTCTAGAATGACTATCAACATCAGTATAATACTAAGTAGGGCAATACAAACTGTTTACAGGAGCCCTGACACAAACAGAATTTTGTTTCAGCTGTCATACACAGCATTACGCTGCATAATGCTAAAGCACTTATAAGGAGAGCCCAACTCAGACTGAACAGCCTGCATGCAATCTATTCTCATGCACTCAATCCAACTCATGCACTATGTGCTTCTGTAAGACCTGCTTCTCTCCAGAAAGCCCTTCTGC